AAAAAAACCTATGAACAAATTCCTGTGCACACTGCACATATCTTATTTTGAAGTAAAAAACAAAATGGGGCAAAAACACCTGGTGGGCCGGATAAATGTCCTCGGCGGGCCGCAGTTTGAGGACCCCTGGGCAGTTCTTTGTTGTGGGGCCTGCCCTGCGCGCCTGGGGTCCTCAGTAGAATCCCTGCATCTCTCCTCCAGTAGCATGGCTTTCCCAGTTGTGACTCTACAGGTTTTCCCTGCGGGCAAAGTTAATCCAGGTGGAGAAGCCTTGTTACAGAGGGCACTGCTGGCTGTCTTCCCGCAACCTGTTCATCACAGCGCATTTCAAGCCAGCCCTTGGTAGGGGTCACTTAGTACCCGTGAGAGCAGCGGTTCTCAACTGTCAAGGACACCGGTAACACTCAGGGAGCTTCAGAAAAATCCTGATGCCTAGACATCCAGCACCCAACTATTGGTCTCTCTTCATCTGGAGCAAAGAGAACAAAAGAAACCAGACTCGAAAAAGAAACCCGTCCACAGGACTGGTTTCCCGCATGACCCATGACCTCTTCTCATCCGAGACCAGAAGAAGTAGATGGTGCCTGGCTCGCTACCAGGCGTTCTGACCAGGGACCCGTTAGAAACCTCAGACTGGAGTGGGAGGAAATTATCGAACAAAGCTCAAATTCCTACACATGCCAGACCTACTGTACCAATAGCCAGTAGAGCAGCGTCTCCAAAAGTGGGTGATACAATCCAGGAGGGCTGGAAATACAGGTGCCGCCACATTATCCTGGATTATGGGTTATAGCACGAACGTTTTTCATTGTCACGGGCGCTGAGTAAAAAGTATTTATTTATTTTCCGAAAAGGGGACAGTAGGCCAAATAAGTTAGGGAACCTGTGGACTTGAGGGATCCCTAACGTTGCCAGCCGTGAACTTCACACTGAAGCCACTCTCGGAGGTCACTGTTTAGTCAAATATAGACTGACTTACAAACAGTATCACTGTGAGTCGTGTGTTTCCTAAATAGCTGCATGAGCCCACACGGTCGGCATTTACCCAAGAGCAAAGCTGAGAAGAAGGCAAAGGAGGGCAGTGGGGGCCAGAAGCCAGATCAGTGGAAACATAACAAACAGAATGGAAAAAGCGAGACACATTTTACCCCATGCCAGAGGACGATTTGTGTAAAAGTGGTTAAATAGGAACTTAAATTCTCTTTGTGGACGTTCACTTATAGCACAATAACACATGTTTCAGAAAACACGAGACCCACGCTATAGATACGAATTGGCCTGGGGCGTAGCCTGGGCATCAGGGGTTTTCAGCCAAGACTGAGGGTCCCAGAGCATCAGTGTGAGTCATGGAATCAGTTTCATGAAGTACTTCTTTACCAACATTTATGCTGATTATTTTGTAATTCCATTCTAACAGAAGTCAGAATACCTTTTTTTTTTTAGTTTTATTTTCGCTTATTATCACTGCCTTTATGAATCTGATCTTTATTTGTCTTTGAGGGCTGCAAACGTTACAAGTGTACTGACTTAGTATACACATGTATGAGAAAGACACAGACCATGAAAACGTGCTTCTCCAATCAGGAGTTGGGCGCTGGCACTTCGTTGGCTGTGGTGGTAACTTGGACTAGCAGCAGCCCCATCTGTGCCCTTGCTGGGAATGGGGATGGCCTTTCTAGACAGAAAGTGAATGCCAGTTGTCCAGCTGGCTCTGTCCTTGTTTTCTTCATATATGTTGTGGGAACACCTGCTTTCGTCCTGAACCTGCCTGTCGACTTCAGCAAAACAATCAGAGTTTTGGGAAGCCGACTCTTGAGGTAGTTTAGAACCCCTGTAAATCTCCCTAGCAGCATTTTGAAACCTAACCTTTGAATCTTCAGGTGACTGAGAATGAGAACAGCAGTCCTTTTCACGCTGCATCATTGTATATCATAGATACAACTAGTAAAAGGATGTTTACAAAAATGCTCTTTAAGAGTGGTGGCTGCTAGTCAGCAGTTCAATACCACCAGCCACTCCATGGGAGAAAGATGAGGCTTTCTCCTCCACAGCCTCGAGAACCCACAGGGGTAGCTGCCCCTCGGTGTAGGGTACCTCTGAATCAGAACGGACTTGGTGCCAGTGAGCTTTCTGGTTTTAAGTGTGGCGCGTGGTAACTTGAGTACATAGTAAGTTGGCACCTACCTGTAAGCACATGTATATGTCAGCAAACAGAAAGCAGGGCCTAGCACAGTAGAGTGTGCACCCTTTTGTATGCATGTGAAGCTGTGAGAGAGAGAAGGAAACCATAAGCAAAACCCTGCTCAGAACCAGCTTCGTTTCTTGTATTTTATACCTATTTATGTGTTTAGTTATTATCATTATATCTGTTTAGAACCTGTTTCAGAAACTGCTTGCTTTTCGCAGTGACTTAGTAGTTAACGTGGAAGCTAATGTGGGACACTTATAGTTCTGTTACTTGGGCATCTGTGAGCCTTTGGGCCACGTCTTGAGGTCTCGCCCTGGCATGGATAAAAATCATTTCTAGATCTGAGCCAAGAAAGATGACATGCGTAATTTCAGCAGCAACCAGTTTTCATCATTTGTGTATGTTAAGTATGTGATCTTATGCTGCGTCGGCATTGGTCTAAACACAGAACTTGCATAAATTACCCCAAAAGTTTTATTAGGAACAGTTTAACAGCCTCTTGACTTCCTTATCTGTGGGAATTTGGGGGTCTTACAAAATAAACGGTTACACACATTCATCTTCCTGCTATAAAAATAGTGTCATCCGGTTGAAGGCTGGCAGCCTCCGGCTGGCCTTTTTATCTCTGTGCTCACGAGACCACAGGCTGAAGGCACTCCTGATGCATGCCCGCTGGGGTGAGTCTTCGGACAGATTCTGCAGCTGCAGATGTCCTACCAGTCAGGTTGTGGTCCTGGCAGGTCTTGGGAATCCCATGCTCTGATCCCCAAGCTCATTCCAAGCCCATGAGGACACCCACCAAGGCTGCCCGTTGGACACGCGTCCTGAAAGGCTGTGCTTCGGGGTAGAAATGCAGAGATGGGCCATGCTCTGAAGCCTATCCGCGCAGGGTGCTCCGAAGCTTCGAAGGGACTGGAAACAGAACCTGCAGACGGAAATAAGGAACGTTTCACACACTGTGAAAAGTGTGAGCAACTTGTGTGGAGATTGTTGAATGGGAAATGTAACCTATTGTGTAAACCTTCACTGCCAACACAATACAAATATATCAACATGTCTCCTCCCGCCCCAAAGGGACATCTGTGTCATTGGTAGCATGGCCATCATCTAGAACAGTGGTTCTCGCCCTTCCTAATGCTGTGACTCTTTCATACAGTTCCTCATGGTGTGGTGACCCCCAACCATAACATTATTTCTGTTGCTACTTCATCACTGTTATTTTGCTACTGTGATGAATTGGGCCACCCTGTGAAAGGGTTGTTCGACCCCCAAAGGGGTCACAACTCAAAGGCTGAGAACTGCTGATCTAGGAGAACCAGGTTTAAAAATATTTCTTGAATCTGCTGGAGGGTGGGGTGGGGTGGGTGTGGGTGTAACCTACCTGTACAACAGAGGAGACGATGACTGGCAGATACCATTAGTTCTCTGGAGAGTGCTTCCTCACTAGTTACCGTTCTGTGCTGGGTCACAGCATATCGCTAAATGGGCAATTCTGTATTCTCTAGGTGTCCAAGGGTTCCGTGGTCCACTTTGCCTCCAGAAATTTCTCCTTGTCGGCGGAAACGAAAGAAAGGCGCTTCCCCCGCGGGAATAAACGTCTGTTGAGTTGGGCGCGGAAGGAATACGGAGCAGTGACTTCATTCTCGGAGCTCAAGCTAGCAAGAAACATCTATGTTAAAGTGGGGGAAGGTAAGTTCTGTGTGGCTGCGGTCAGTGACTGATTTACAGCCACCGCTGTGTTCTTTTCTGAGAGCAGGTGGTTAGGGTAAGGAATCAGAATTACAGAATGCTAGAACTGGCAACCACCTGAGGGATCTTTGGAGCCTCTCCTTGCCACCAATGCCACCCCCCCACCCCCCCGCCCCCCAATTCCCCTTTCCAGTTTCCTTCTGAGGAAGCAGGCCTGGTGATGGCAAGTGAGACCTGGAGGGTGGGAGGAGGTGGAGAAGAGACCTTGCGTGGTGCCAGCCTCGACCACAGGCTGAGCAGTTAGTTGGCTGCTCCAACCCGCCCAGAGCGCGTCGGAAGGCAGACCAGGCGATGTGGTTTTGAAAGCGTGTTGACTGGTGTGTGGGGTTTCAGTGGAGCGTCTGCTCCGCACAAGCGGCCGCCACAAGCAGATTCAACTCCGAGGCAACTAACCCCAACAACATGGCTGAGAGAGGCGGAGGGGTGTGTGTGTGCTAACGGGGTGGCATCTAAACGGCTCCCGTGTGGGCAGAAGTCAGGAAAACAGCGGAGGGCAAGAAGCGAGGGTGTAGGAAAGAAGATGATAAAGGAATGAGGGAGGACTTGGCAGAAAGGACCAACAGCCCATTTTTCTGTGAGCATTTGAATATTCGCTTATGATCCCAAGGCATCATTATTTTGGTCACCCTACACCCCCCCCCCCTAAAACAAAAGGTGATTCTGATACCTGGCGATCCTTAGAGGACCGACTAGAACTGCCCCTTTGAGTCTCTGAGCCCCAATGGTGTCGGGGCTGCAAGTTGGGTGTGAACCACGAGGTCCTCAGTTTGAAACCCCAGCTGCTCGGGGAGAAACAGGAGTCTCTCCTCTGGGAAGAGTCATGGGCTCCGAGACCCACAGGGGCAGTCTCCCCTGTCCTTTAGCGTCACTATGAGGTGGCATTGACTCACAGACAGTGAATGAATGATCGAGTGTGTGAATTCTTTATGGGAGCAGAAAGTCTCATCTTTCTCTTTCATTTTTCTTGATGTAAAATTCACATATGCTTCCATAGTTAAGACACTTTTTAAAAGAGTTGTATATACATCATCACAATCAGTTCTAGAACTCCCTCCCCCCTCCCATTTTCTTTGTTTGCTCCCCAATTTTTCTCACCCCACTCCCATCTCCGATAAATCATTGCATCAGTTATTGTCTCTATGAATCCACTCCTCTGTCCTTCATAAACCTAACAAACAATACAAACATAAAGCAAAGCAGAAGAAAATAATAATAATATAAAAATGGTAAGAAAGAAAAGACCACCAACAATATTTAAAAAGCCAGAGAAGAAATTTCTGCCATGGACCAAGCAAGACACATTTAAGCCTAGAGCAAATTCAGGTTGGGTCAAGATGGAGGTCACCTGACCAGGTATCATCTTACACCGTGATTCACGATCCACCACAATCAAGTTTACACTCGTCTCAGTCTGACAGTAAAGCTGCTTGAACCCCTCACCCATGGCGGGAGGGGAGCTGCCAGAGGTTTACTTGACTAGATGCTCTGCACATGGGTTTTGGGCTCCCACTGCCCCTCTTAGGCTTCTACACCATGGGTGTTCACAATTTAAGCTCTGATACCATTTCTTCAATCATAGTTAGATTTTGTTATCGTTGTCTTTGGACCACACATCGGTGTGCTTCTTCCATGTGGACTTAGTTGACACCACACACTTAGACGGCTGCTTGTTTGACTACAAGCCTGTAAGACATCATACACTATTCCCATGGATAGCTGGGCACCATCTTCTTTCTTCACCACACTTGCTGTAGCATCCTTATCTTCAGCGATCTCGTAATGCAGGCACATAACAGAATCCATCTGCTTGTTCACAGGCTATGAGCAACTCTGATTTACTTTGGTTGTCATATTATGACAAACAAACAAACAAACAAAGCAACCAAAGAAAACAAATAAGAAAGGCATTCTTGATTATCCCCCAGGGGTATAATAAGACAATTGCATTGATATTATCAACAAATTGTCCAATATCATAGAATTTGTTCCTATTGATATACGAGGAGTTTTATGTGAGTGTAGTTCAACTTTGAGCCACAGTCCATGAGCTATTGCTTTGTACAGATGGATTTCTTAATTGATTGAGCTTTGTTTACATTGAGCATGGGGGTTATTTTAAGGTAGAACCTAGTTCCTTCAGTTGGGTTTCCATGTTGAGCCCTTGGGGGGATGTCATGTTCACTATAAGGCCAGTGTCAAAGGTCATCATAGTGCTAAATTCATGGCATTGTTCACTGTGGATTGAGTAATCAAATCAAATTTTTACTTACTTATTTTCAACTAATGCCCACATTTTAATGTAAATTTTATCTGATAAATTTTACTTGTTTTCTTCATTTGCTTTTCTGTTATATTTGTTGCAGTGGACTCCAATTGAAAAGTGGCAAAATTGTATGTCCAGGTAAAATGAAACAGCAACAATTGAGTAGAACACAAAGACAAAAGCTTGCAGAAGATAAAAATAAAGGAAAGGGTTTGTGAGTCCTTGTAGACAATTCTAAAATTAACTTCCTTTTTGAGATAACATGAATCAGAAGAGATAACAGCAGTGTGAAAAAACCCCTCCCCCCAAATTCTGCATCTGGAATAAAAATATAATAATGGTATAGAAAGTGAAACTATTTTAGATACTGAAATTGTCACCTCTGTAGTCCCCATCAGTAAACAAGAAATACAAATCCTTTGTATTCATGGAATAAATTTTCTTCTAATACTATAAATTATTAGACCAAAAGAGGGCCAAGTGAATGTCAACATCAAACAGTGGACCATTCGAAAAGCCATGTGGAGAATTTCTGGATGATCAACAAGGTTCTATAGCCGGAATGTCTGTTTAGGTGTGTAGCTAGTAGTGAAAATGTTGAGAGCTCCGGTGACGGCGGCCCCCATCAGCCAGCGCTGTATGCTGTTTTGTTTGAAAACAGTTCAGTCCTAAATCCTCTAACTCTTAATTTGTTACAGATGGATTTAGCTATTGGTGCAACTCAAATATGATTGATACACATGAACACTGTTCAGCTCATAGAGATCGCATGTTGTCATAGTTAAAGATGCACTCTGCCTAACTAATGAACGGGAAACGCAAATTAATGAAGACCATCAGCATTGGAGAACTGCTTTGCAACTTTTTGTTGTTGCCATCATAATTGCTAAATGTGGACTGTCTTTTCAAGGAAGAGATGGAGTGTCTGGGTCCCCCACAAAATATAGCAAATTTGAGGGGTTAGTTGAACTTGTTGCTTAGTTTGGTCTATATTTAGCCGGTCACATCTCAAAATATGGTAACGAGGGAAAGGGCACCCCATTCTATTTGTCTAAACCAACTGTGAAAAATTTATGAACTTAACAAAAGTCCAGCCAACTGTTTTCAGTGAAATAACATGGCTTGGTATTCCAGATGGTCCCTAGGTTCTATTCCTGATCCTCTTTATACAGAGCAGTGGAGTATTGTTTTGAGGTACATATCTCCAACAGATGGAAAACCTGTAAAGTGATTTATCACATTCACTATCTTAGGAAGTCAGGCCAGTGAAGAAACTGCAGCTGCAGAGGCGGCTCGTGTGGCAGCACTGTCAATGTCAGCGCATTATAAAGGCATGCACTTTTAGAAGGTAGTGAATATGCCATGTTCATGCTGTGTGTTGGCGCTTTCTTAATCTTGTAGCCTTGTTGGTTGAAAATAGTTGAAAACCCCACAAACTAGAAACTCCCATTGTTTAGTTACTCTTCACGTTTTTTACCACCTTTGCCCACTGACCACTGAATCCCTCATTGGCGCCAAGTCAGCCTTCGTCGAATCGATGAAGGTGTTGAGCATTAAACTGGCTTTCTAATACACGCTGGGAAGTGCAGGCTGTAGCACAGATGTGTGTTCCGGAAACCTTACACTTAGATTCTAAATGCTTTCGGAAATAGCGCTGGAAAGCAGACACAAAGGAGGTACCGAAGGAGGGGCTGGGAGCACCTCCCACAGATTGCAAACACTCCGTCTGTACGTTGCCCAGGCAGAGTAACATGTCGCAGCATTTTCATTGGATTGGTCAACTTCTTCAAGATTCAGAAATAAACGTAAAGATCTGGGAGATCACTATCAGGTATTAATAGAGTGTTGCCATCATCCAGGTGAAGTTTTGAAGCAAAACAAATTCTGCCCAATACTGATTATCAAGCAGCTTACCATCACAGAAGCAGTATTTTTAAAAAAGTCAGTGAATGATGGAAGTGCTCCCAAAATATTGAGTGCCCGTGATCAATTTCATGTGACCACATACCACACCATCACTGACTCACGGCACTTGTTCATGAAAAGAAGGGTGAAAATGTATGAGGTGCTTCCATACGGATTTTCCTTTTTAAACAGCGTGGATTTACTTGATGAAAAATGCAAGAAGGCCTCCCAGAAATCTGTTCTGATGACGTAAATACAAACTTTTATGGGGAAAATGACAATTTCTGCCTTCCGCGAGAACTGCTATGTACGTTCAGGAAGGACACATTGTACTCCTCTGAGTATGCATGATTCCATATGGAAGATGAAATCCAGGAGGCATTCCTCAGTGTTGAAACTGCTTTACACGTATTCCTGACTTACTGGTACAAACTGCACAACAGGACACTCATTTTCATGCCTGGCTAGAGACTCACAGACCCTCGGCTTACACCACTAATGCTACATACTTGCTTCCTTATCCTTTTTATGGATGGGAGTAGATAGTGTTCAGAAGTTTAATTGTGATGAACTCACCGGAAAACTTTTAAGAGCAAAGGACAGAATAAATGCTTTTAAGGTTAGCAAGTTAGAGATAAAAAGAGCGGTCTGCAAATAAAATAATAGTAATATGTTGTAATATTTGTTTTCTGATCATTATTTTATGATCTCTTTTCATCTGTCGGTTCATAATTACAGCATTTATTACAATACCAGCATCAAAGTTTCATATGAGCTGTTTAAAAGAAAAATTGGTAAAAGCCCTTTTTTGTTATGGAAGATCAGCAGCCCTTAACACCGATGGCCAAAACCACTAGGTTCACTGACTTGTTATCTTTGTTGTAGAAACTGTGGAACATTCCTTTTGTAGCGATTTGGTTTATCATACAACTCCTAACACCCTGCGTCTACTAAAATCTGTTATCCAGTTCCTCTCACTCAACGGATATGGCCACTTTCACATTTAATCACTACTGCGATGTTGCATTTAAAAAGAGAGTACATCACAGATAGCTACGGGGCGCACACATCTCTCTCTGTCTCGTAGATGGAACTCTCATATCCCATTCAAATCAGCTTGGTGGCACCACAGGCTATCAGACTTAACGGCCTTCACATGCCTTAATCTAGCCCTGCTGGTAGCATGACAGAATGTTGATTGCTACTTGGAATGTTTATAATAAGTTTGTTAAAATAGTATTTGGGGTCTTTTGCGTTATTCTCTCGGCTGTATGTAAGATCGATCAGCAGCATTTACCGGTGCCTCACCGAGAGTGAGGGGTAAAGTGACGTCTCCCTTAGAGAACACCTAAGAGCTAGATCACCGCCTTGCCAACACCTTTACCAGTCGCCGCCATGGGACCCGGCTCACGTCAGCGCTGGGCCGGGCGTCACAGTGGAGCTGTGCTCTGTGGGGCATTTAACTGCTGGTTTCTAAAAAACAGATTGCCAGGTCTTTCTTTTTGCGGTAGACTTGAACTTCCAACCTCATGGTTAGTGCTCAGTGGGTTAACTGTGTGCACCACCCAGGGACTCCCGGGGACATCGCTGGAGCCCTTGAATGCGTCCAGCCACTGTATACGTTGCTGTGCAGACAGTGAGCAAGGTTCTGACGTTGCTCATCGTCACTGACCAGACGCCTCTAAGGAAGCTTCGGCAGCTGCCTGCCAGGAGGCTGGCTGAGCCATCGTTCCCTTGTACCCAGGGGTGCCAGACCACGGGCTTCCTGTCGCTCTACTGCAGTGGTTCTGCAGGTGTGGTTCTTGCTCCAGCAGAAGCAGTATCACCTGGGAACTTGTTAGAAATGCCAATTCTTGGGTCTACCCCAGATTAACTGGGTCAGGCAGTTGGGGCTGGGCTGAGACAGCAGTCGTTTGACCTGCCCTCTAGGCAATTCTGATCGTTGTTCAAGTTGAGAACCACTGGTCTACCTCCAGGATCTCGAGTGGAAGTTTGGAAGACCTGGTGGAGTGGTTACACATTGGGCTGCTCACTGCAAAGTCAGCAGTTTGGAAACCCCCCTCCCCCCCTTCTCCTCGGGAGAGAGAGGAGGCTTTCTACTCCCGTAAAGAGGCACAGTCTCAGAAACCCACAGGGCCGTCCTACCGTGCCCTGTAGCGACCCTATGAGTTGGCTTCAGCATGATGACTGAGATTTCCCGTTGGGTTCTGATCGCAGCTGGCCCAATAACTGTGTGGCTTCAAGAAATACCGTTACCACCAGAACCTCAGTTATCTCAGCTGAAAACCAGGAGGTCTCCGCCCCCTTCCCATTCCTGTATTCAGAGTATGTTGTTCTGGGTCTCACAGTCATTAGTTAATCCTTTCCTAAAATACAAACAAGCATGTGACTTTCTTGGCTCCCCAGGGGGATTCCCCTTTGTGGTTTCTTTTCTGTTTGGCTTATGGGGTACATTCTGAAGCCGGCATTTGTGGGAGGGGAGTCGTACACAATGAGAAGTGATCCGCTGATCCAACCTGCTGGCAATGGCATCTGGGACCCGAGCTCTTAATGGCCCAACTTTTGAATAATTAAACCCTGCGGGGATCACAAGCTGGACAGTTTTTGTTATTTGACTCAAACGTTGCATTGTGGTTCGTTAATCCCAGAAACCTGTACCTGAGCCTATGCCTGCTACTGCCACGTGCAGACCAGCCACACCTGTCAGCAAGTGCTCAGAGAGCATCCCGAGAGGGTCCTAGTCTCTCCCATTCCAGACTGGCTGCCCGGGCCCCACATGCCCCGCCGTTCTTGGTGTGCTTTCAGCCCTGCCTGCTAATATCACTTTCCGTCCTGTGATCTGGGGGAGGCATCCGCAGGCTGCAGCTGCAGGGTGTGCACACCTCATCTGCTCATCTGGAAAAGCCCTCAGCAGATGTGGAGGGGACGCACACCAACAAGCCGTCAGTGCAGAGCGACACGCAGGGGTCTGGGAGCTGCTCTGGTCCCCGCCGTTCTGGGGGCCATAGTGCTGGATGCTGCTGCGAATGCTGTGGACGTCAGCACAAACCAGAGGAGCCGTTTCCACCCTATCTTAGGCCCTCCTGGGCGGTTTCCTGTCCCCCTGGCTGAGACCTGTGGGTGGATTTGAACCCAGTCCAGGGGAGGAATAAGTCAGAGTGGGTGTCGTTCCAATGCCGGGCCTCTGGTGAACGGACCCTCTGAAGAGAGCTTGCTGCACCAGAACTTCCTTGACACTTGTCCCGGTTGTCACGACGCCAGCAGTCGTTTCTTTCAAGTTCTGTTTAAGCATTTAAGGCTCTGGATGGAAATCCCATCAGCCACGGTGCTGGGTGATGGCTTGTGCCATGCAGCAGCCGGGTGGGGGGAGGGCCTTTGAACTCAGCACTTGCATCCCTCTCCGGATGGAAGTGGGGTGCAGCCCTCACTCAGCACGAGGAGTGAAGTTTCTGGAAGCGCCTTGCAGACAGAAAGGGCCATGCACATAGTGGCTGTCGGTCAGAATGATGTTTTGAGTTTTTTTTAATGGAATTCTACTCTCACTGTTTCCCCCCAAAATACAGAGAATAAACATGAAGGGATGATTAATTGTGCGTACAGGCCAGAGAATTCATTCGGAGCTGGCTCTCCTTTTGAAGTAGCAGATATCCAAAGAAGAGTCGCTTTGAGGATCAGCTACTTTGCAGATTCATTTTTGAGTATAACTCACTGTCATTGAGTCGATACTGCCCGACGGTGACCCTGTTGCACCAGGTAGAGCTGTCCCTGTGAGTTTCTGAGACTGCCCCTCTCCATGGGCATGGAAAGGCACATCTTTCTCCCACAGGGGGGCCAGTGAGTCGAACTGGTGACCTTATGAGTTAGCTGCCCAGCACATGACCCACTGTGCCACCAGGGCTACTCATTTTTTTAAAATGTTGTTTGTTTTTATTTTTAATCATTTTATTGGGGGCTCATACAGCTCTTATCACAATCCATCCAACCATACATTGTGTCAGGCACATTTGTACATTTGTTGCCATCATCATTCTCAAAACATTTTCTTTCTACTTGAGCCGTTGGTATCACCTCCTCATTTTTCCCTCCCTACCCCACCTTCCCTCACGAACCCTTGATAATTTATAAATTGTTTTTTATTTTTTCATGTCTTACACTGTCCGATGTCTCTAGTCACCCACTTTTCTGTTGTCCATCCCCCAGAGAGGAGGTTATATGTAGATCATTGTGCTCGGTCCACCCTTTCTCCCCCCACCTTCCCCATACCCTCCTGGTATTGCTACTCTCATTATTGGTCCTGAGGGGCTTATCTGTCCTGGGTTCCCTGTATTTCCAGCTCTTATCTGTACCAGTGTCATGCTCTGGTCTAGCTGAATTTGTAAGGTAGAATTGGGATCATGATAGTGGGGGGAGGAAGCATCAAGACTTGAGGACCACTGGTTTTCCAAGGGACAGTTGAAGAGAGGATCCAGAAAGAGACAGAAAACTGAGTCAGGGGAGATGGGTGAGAATAAGTACGTGTCCCAGAGAACAAGAAGTGATCACTCAGGTCCCTGGGTAGCACAACTAGTTTGTTTGTGACTGTTCACCCAAAGATTGGTGGTTCAAGTCCACGCAGTTGATGGCGAGGAGGGTGTAGCTTTTCCGGTTGTATTTGATCAATCGAATTGTATCTAAGAGGAATTACTGAGAGGTAAACATGATGGGGCAGGAGGGAAAAGAAAAAAAGGAAGATATGTGTGTGAATATATAAATATATGTGTACTTGTTTATATGTGTATATATATGTGCAAATGAACCAAGGAAGCAGCAGGACTTTAAGACTTTTACTTAAATCTTACCTCAGTACAAGAAGAGTTTGTTTTAATAATGTGGCAGGCAGTGTATGAGACTCACCTTCTTGACACAATCACTGTCAGATATGGCAAAAGAAATAAATATGGGCTCCTGGGGGGTAAGGTGGGGGTGGAAGGGGATAAAGGGGAGCTGATATCAAGGAGTTCAAGAAGAAAGAAAATGTTTTGAAACTGATAATGGTAGCAATTATACAATACTGCTTGATGTGATTGAACTGTAGAGTGTTATTATATCTGTCAGACTCCCAGTAAAAGGATTC